AAAAAAAGAAAACAAATGGAGATGTGGTGATATACAGGTGTAATCCCAGCACTCAGGAGGCTGAGGCAGGAGGATCGCCACAAGCTCAAGGCCAACTCAGGCTACATGGTAAGTTCACAGTCAGCCTGAACTACATAGCAAGCCCTTGTCTTAACCCCTCCACTCTAAAAAGCAAACAAAACAAAAAAACAGTATTTAAGATATCAAGATATCAAGATATTCACAGGAAAAAATCTTGCTCTCATCCTCTATCCCTTGTCTTTTTATAAGTAATCACTTACTCATTTTATAAATACATCCTTCAAAAACCAAGACTAGCCTTCAGAATTTTGACTATATCAATCAAATATAAAGATATATTTTAGCTGGGGATATAGCTCAGTGGCATAGCGCCTCTCTTGGCAAGCGCAAGGTCCTGAGTTCGATGCCCGGTACCAAAATAAAAGATATATTTTAATTCCCTCCCACAGAGTTTTTAACCTAAAGGTAACACACAAATGACACTCTTCTACAATTTCTAAAAATCTTCCACATCGGTATATATTGTCCCCATTCATTTTTCCATTGTGAAATGTGACCCTTTAATTTGGCCCTGACTGGTGGACACCCAGTGATCTCCAGTCTTCCCTATAGCAAATGAAGCTGCAGCAGGGACCCTCGCACAGTACTCCTGTGGCTTCACACCAGCGTGGCATCGTGAGGTCGCCTCCTGCTGGTTGCACTGGACAGGTTACTCTGCCCTCGCACCCGCAGTGTGTGAGCACAGACTTCTTGGATATGGTTGCCAGTCAGACAGGAGTAAGATTATGAGTAAGGCTGAGCATGTTTTCATGCTTAAGAGCCATTTGAAGTACTCAGGAGGCTGAGGCAGGAGAATCACTGCAAGCTTGAGGCCAGCTTGGGCTACAAAGTGAGTTCGAGGTCAGTCTGAACTGCACAGTGAAACCTTGTCTCAAAAAGACAAAAAGGGCCAGGCATGCTGGCACATGCCTGTAATCCCAGCACTTGGGAGGCTGAGGCAGGAGAATTGTTGTGAGTTTGAGAGCAGCCTGGGTTCCAAAGTGAGCTCAAGACTAGCCTGAACTGCATAGCGAGACCCTGTCTCAAAAAGACCAAAAGACAAAAAAAAGCCATTTGATTTTTCTTTACTGGGATGTCTTACCTCCTTTGGTAATTTTTTTTTGGCTTTTACAAAAGATTGATTTCTAGTAGCTCTTTATATATTAGAGAGATTACAGGTCAGAAAGTAGGATTGCATTGTCTTGTTTAAAATGATTTTTTTAATATGTTTTTGAGACAGGGTCTCGCTATGCAGTTCAGGCTGGCCTTGAGATCACTTTGTAGACCAGCTGTTCTCAAACTCACGATTGTCCTGCCTCATCCTCCAGAGTGCTGGGATTTCAGGTGTGCCCACCATGCCTAGCTTAAAATGATTTTTTTTTTGGCAGTGCTGGGAATCAAACTCAAGACCCCACGAATGATAAACATACTCTACCACTAAACTGCACCCTCAATCCCTTAAAGTGATTGCTTTTGGCAGTGCTAGGGTTGGAACCCAGGGCCTCATGCATGGTAGGCAAGTGCTCTACTGCTGAGCCACATCCCTATCCCCTTTAAAATGATTTTTTTTTTTTTTTGAGCAGGGTCTCTAGCAGTTCGAGCTGGCCTCGAACTCACAGTGATCCTCCTGCTTCAGCCTCCTAAGTACTGGGATTACAGGCGTGCACTACCATGCTCAACTAAAATGATTTTTAAAGAAGAAAACAAAACTGTATTTGGTCACCTGTAACATGTACTCAGGGCCTTTTATCCCCTGGGGTTACCATGAAGTCACAGAAATGCCCTTGGGCAGAGGCTGGGTTTTGCTTAGACCCTATTTGTCCTTGCTGAGTGGAACCATCCCCTCTTCTTCTCCCACAGGGCTATGGCATGGCGTACACTATCCACAAGTGGTCTGAGCTCAGCTGGGCCAGTCACTGGGTCACTTTTGGATGCTGGATCTGCTATCGTCTCATAGGATAGCCCATAGGAGCCCTCAGAACCCCTCAGAACCTCTCGTCAGAGTAATAGCTCTGATGGGGGATGAGGGAAGGCCCTCTACTCCCTGACTCCGATCCATTCTTGACCCCCAACACCCCTACACACACACACACACACACACACACACACACACACACAGAGCGTTCCCATGCCTGTCAGTCCCCACCTACAAGGCGGGAAGGGATGATCCCTGTTGGGGCCTAGGGGTGGGGGATATTTGGGAAGCAGAGAGGGGGAGATCCAGGGCCTCCCCGCCGGCCTTCCCCCTTTTTATATACAGTTTATTATTGTCAAATAAAAGTAGAAATATAGTATTGGCTCTTTTTTCACTGCTCACAGGGGGATAGGAGTTAGGAAAGGGGTACTGCATGGATAAAAAGTTTGGCAAGGAAACCATTGAGGGAGCAGATTGTGACTGGTGCATGGTTGGTCTATGATTTGTGATTGGATGATGAGTCTACAGATGCCCAGGTTCTGGTCCTGTCTGATTTCAGTGGAGCGGGAAGAGACTGCAGGGCTGGATGGGGGTGGAGAGGGGAGGTGGTAATTGGCCAGAAAGCTAAAGGATCCTTGTCCAGCTTGGTGGCTCTGACTGAGCTGAGGGAAGGCAAGGGAGAGTGCGGATTGATGCTCATTGGTCCCCAGGACTGTGGGCTGTGAGTTCTAATGGGATGGAAGGTCTGGGGTGGGTTTGGGTTTTGATTGAGTGCCCGGTCTAGGCGCTCACTGGTTTAGCGTTATACTGTTCTGCTTGGCTCTTTATCATTAGCATAGTTGAGGATCTCCATGCCAATTGGTCAGCAGGACTGAGGGGGCCGGGTTCTGATTGGTTCTTCTGACTTGAAACCGGGAGAGGCGGCGAGAATGACCGCAGCTCTAAGGACTGAGTAGTTGTGAGCGCTGAAGGGTTTTGGCGTATGGGGGCGGGGCCTGGGTTTTGCAGGGCTCCACGTGTAATCCGCCTGTCGTGTTATAGTTTCCTTGCATTAGGATTGAAACCTGGTCTCCCAACCGATCGGTTGCCTAGAAAACCACAGCAGAGGTGAGAGGACAATGCAAAGCCGTTTGAACAGAAAACGCAGAGAATGTCCACCTTAATTATTCCCCCGCTGGGACGGATTAGGGGGGGAAAATGGGGAAATCGAGACTAGCTGCCGATTGGCCACAGACTAAAAACCGCCCACCAACCAGCTCCTGACTGGGTTTCAACCAACCACGAAGATGGCGCCAGGAGGCCGTAGGCATACGGAGAGCTCCTATTGGCTGGAGGTGCCCTCCCTCCTGCCCATTGGCCCGCTCTATTAAACGGGTTTTTTTTTTTTTTTTTCTGCCGAGAGCCACCCGCAGCGTCGGAGCTCCTGGCGAACGGCGGTTGCAGTTGTCCGGCTAGGGTGAGTGCCCGCTGCTCGCGCTCTAGGTCCAGCGCCCCCTCGCCCAGCCGCCCGCCCTCAGCTTGCCTGCAGGAACCCCTGGCCCCTCGCGGTTGTCTGGGCGACTGACGACCCGCCTTCTCTCTGGGCAGGTGGGGGGGGGGTGTCAGCGGATCCCGGCTCTGATTGGTGGGCTCCTGGCTCCCCTTTTCCTCACTGCGCTGCCCGCGAGACCCCAGCCTTTCCCGCTCTTCGCACAGCTCCGCGGCGTTGCGTGCTATCGCGGGGAGGAGCTGGCTTTCCTAACGCTGGGCTGGAGTTCAGGCTAGTCTCTTGTCAGATCCACTGAGGTTGCCAGGACCCCGGGAGAAGGAATAATAGCTTTCCATTGAACTGGGTTTGTCTTGTTTTGTTTGAGACAGGGTCTCACTATGTAGTCCAGGCTGGCCTGGAACTCATTACGTAGCTTGGGCTGGCCTCGAACTGGCTGCGACCCACCTGCAGTTCTCCTGCCTCAGCCTCCTGAGTGCTTTCCGTTGAACTATGCAAGACCCTGGCCTCTACAGTAGACCCAGAGCTGGTTCCTGGGTCTTGGCACCAAATTGAGCCAGCATGAGTGCTCAGATCTGGCTTAGTGACAGTGACTCTCCCACCACACTGTGACCAGTGAGGACCGGGACCAGGCTGGGTTCCTGTGTGTCCCTCGGTAGGTTTTGACCGGACAGGGCTGAGCTCAGGCCTCTTTCCTGTTATTACAGCTAGCAGAGGCTTGGAACAAACTTTCAGTCTCTCTGTGGCCTTATATATTAGTCATGTTTCTAACAGCATGCAATGAGATTGATTTTTTTATTTTTAAGATTAAGTTGTTGTAAAAAAATAAAAAAAAAATAAGATTAAGTTGTTGTTGTCATCATCGTCTTTGTCCTTTGGTTTTACAGGGTCTCACTGTATGGTTAAGGCTTGCCGTGAATTCATTTTGTAGTCCAGGCCAGTCTGGAACTGGGAGCGAGCCTCCTGCCTCTGCCTCCTGGGTGCTAGGATCACAGGCATGCACCACCATTCCTGGCAGGATTAGATTTTTTTAATCCAAGCCAGACTTGGTAGCACACTCCTGTAATCCCTGCAGTCTGGGAGTCTGAGGCAGGAGGATCATCAGCTCAAGCCCAGACTAAGCAATTTAGAGAGACACTGTTTTACAGCCAGTCGTTAACTGGTAAACTCAGTTTTATTTTTCATAGTAATTATTTCACTCTGCTTTCTATTTTTCTAGGTTTTTCAGTTCCTTTTCCCTCCTCTCTGTCCACATGCAGTCATCAGCCCATAGAGACATGGCCAGTGCCAACACAGGACCCTCGCACCCATACTGGCCTCAGCACATGAAGCTGGACCACTATGTGCCTAACGACCTTTCCTCCTGGTATATCGTGACTGTCCTGTTCACTGTCTTTGGGGCACTAGTCGCGACCATGTGGCTGTTGTCCAGTCGTGCTTCAGTTGTCCCACTGGGGACATGGCGGCGACTGTCCCTGTGCTGGTTTGCAGTGTGTGCATTCGTCCACTTGGTGATTGAGGGCTGGTTTGCTCTCTACCACGAGGCCATTCTTGGAGACCAAGCCTTCTTATCGCAGCTCTGTGAGTCATGGGTTTTTGTGCTGGGGGTAGGGGGATTTCTGGGCATGGGTTGGCTTAGATTTTTACCTACCCATCAATTCTTCCATTCATCCATTTTAAAATTTTATGTGACCTTTTGCATATATATTTGCATAGGTGAAAAAAACATTTAAACTAGTGTTACAGGGGTATGCCACCACACCCAGCCCCCCAAACCATTAACAAATGTTAATTTTGTTTCAAACCCAGGCATGGTGGTGCAAGTCTATAATACCCGCTCTCCAGAGGCTGAGGCAGGAGGATCGCTATGAGTCTGAGGCCAGCCTGAGCTACATAGTGAGACCCTGTCCAAAAATAAAAAGTAGTAATTATTTGTATCAGCTGGGAGTGGTGAGGCATGCCTATAATCCCAGCACTCTGGGAGACTGAGGCAGGAAAATCACAAATTCAAACCCAGCGTGAGTAATTTAGAGACTTAGTGAGATGAGACCCTGTGTCAAAATATAAAAGTAAAAAAAGTATTTGTTTTTGGGACTGGAAATGTAGCTCAGTGGTAGAATGTGTACTTAGTATGCCTGAGGCCCTGGGTTCAATCCCAGCACCAACAAAAAAATTGTTTCCTTCCAAGTTTATTTGCACATAAATTTGCACAGAATCTTCAACTTGCTCAGTTTTATTTATTTTGTTTTGTTTTGAGACAGGGTCTTGCTTTGTAGTTCAGGCTGGCCTTTAGCTCACTGTGTAGCCCAGGGTGGCCTCACATTATCGGAGACCCTTGGCCTCAGTCTGCTGAGTGCTTGAACTATAGGTGCACGCCACCACACACCCAGCAGTTTGCTTAGTTTTAAAAGGGGGATAATAAAAAAAAGGGGAGGATAATAGAGCCAACCAGGGTAGCATTTACTGTTATCCCAGTTACTTGGCTGACGTGGGAGGATCTCAAATTCAAAGGCACTGTGGGCAGTTTAGTGAACCTCTGTCTCAAAATTTTTAAAAAGGGTTGGGGATGTAGCTAGCTCAATACAAAGGCCCTGGGTTCAATCCCCAGTACCACTAAATAAATAAATAGTAAAAGTAATAAAAATAAAAAGGACTAGGGGTTTAGCTTTTTGCTATAGCACTTGCCTAGCATGTGAGGCCCTGGGTTCCATTCCTAACACCATAGATAAAGGCGGCAGATCATAGTAAATGTTCAACTATATATAAGGTACTTAAAACAGTAACAAGCCACAGATGGCATATAATTGTGTTTTGTTTTGTTTTTGAGACAGTATCTTGCTGTGTGGTTCAGGCTGGCCTCAAATTCATAGCAATCTTCCTGCTTCAGCCTCCCAAGTGCTGGGATTACAGGTGTACATCACCACACTTGGCATGTCATATAATTGTTTTATTATTTTTTATTTTTTCCTCTTTACATAAATGCTAACATGCTATATATTTCTGAATTTTGCCTTTTTACATGAGGTCACTCTCGTTTCATAAAGAGCTTGCAAAGCATAGGTGCTATAAAATTCTTGATTTGTGCAGTACTGAAAGGCAGTCTTCTGCTGTCTTGATAATACTCCCTTTTGGCCTCATGATTAAAGCTGCTATGAACATTCTAATACATGTCTTTGTGTTGAGCTCTGCTTTCATATTTTTGGATGCATACATAGAAGAATAGCCGGATCTTATGGTAGGTGCATATATAACTTTATGAAAAACTACCAGGGAGGCCAAGTGTTGTGGTACATGCCTGTTATCCCAGCATTAGAGAGGCTGAGGCAGGAGGATTGTTGCCAGTTTGCATCCAGCCTGGGCTACAAAGTGAGTTCAAGACCAGCCTGAACTACATAGTGAAACCCTGTCTCAAAAAGACAAAATAAATAAATAAATAAAGGAAAGAAAAGTAAAACTACTGGGGGTTGGGGTGTAGCTAGGTAGAGTGTTTGCCTAGCATTGAGTGAGGCCCTGGATTTTCTCTAGAGCACTAAAGGAAAAACAGCAAAAACCTATTAAACTGTTGTTTTTTTCTGTTTTTTTGTTTTTGTTTTTGTCTTTTTGAGACAGGGTCTCACTATGCAGTTCAGGCTGGTTTTGAACTCACTTTGTAGCCCAGGCTGGCCTCGAATTCACAACAGTCCTCCTGCCTCAGCTTCCCGAGTGCTAGGATTACAGGCATGCGCCACCATGCCGAGCTCCAAACTGTTTTTTTGTTTTTTTGGTTTTTTTTTTTGCGGTACGGGGGATCAAACTCATGACCTTGCGCTTGCCAGGCAGGTGCTTATGCCACTGAGCTGTATCTCCAGCCCTCCAAACTGTTTTTGAAAATGTTTTCCCCATATTCCATTCCCACCAGCAGAATAGGAGAGCTCTAGTTCTGCATCCTCACCAATGCTTGGTGTGGTCAGGTGTTTCCTAAACTTCAGTCATTCCAGTGGATGTGAGTGGTCACTCTTCTTTGGCTTTAATTTGCTTTTTCCTTACTGATTATTGAAAGTTTGAGCACCTTCCCTAAGTTGCTTGACCATTTGGAAATCCTTTTCTTATGTGTATGTGAAAAACTTAATTAAATCCTCTGTTTTAGCTTTTACATTATAAGCCCTTCACGCTGAGCTACATCCCCAGCCCTTTTTATCTTCCCACCTTTATTCTTCATATCTATTCTCTTCAGGGAAAGAGTATGCTAAGGGAGACAGCCGATACATCATGTAAGTGTCACCTGCACTGGCCTGGGGTGGTGGGGAGTCGGGCACCCAATGGGGCATGGTGTGAGTGAAGCACTGATGCTGGTGTCCCTCTCTCCTTCTTTCCACAGCGATGACAACTTCACCATCTGTATGGAGAGCGTCACGGCTTGCATGTGGGGACCACTGAGCCTGTGGGTGGTGATCGCCTTTCTCCGCCAGCAACCCTCCCGCTACATCCTACAGTTCGTGATCTCTTTGGGTAAGGAGAGGGCCTGTGCTGGCACTAGAGGGGCTGATGTGTCCCCGAGTGGGGGCGTCTCAGTGGTGTCCACCCAAGGGTGAGCTATAATGATAATGCCCCGGAAGTTTGGGGACAGCCATTCGCCCTCTGAGCCTGCCGCTCAAGGGTTCATTTCTCCCCTTTCTCTATCACAGAGTCCCTTGTGAAGGTTACATGAGGTGGCCGCACTAGCAAGGAGCCCCAGATCCTATGGGACCAGTGTTCTCAGCCCCTTTATCTGAGAGTCAGTCTTTACGTTCTTAAATTGTTAGCTTTCTCTAGTTCTAGACCTGTGGCTTCTCTTTAGTCCTGGAATCCCAAGCTGTCTCAGTTTCTAAGATTTTATTAAGTTCTTTCAATTCTTGCTGGGCATGGTGGCACCCGCCCATAGTTCCAGCACGCAGGAGACAGAGGCAAGTGGATTGTCATGAGTTCAAGGTCAGCCTGAAGTACGTAGCAAGACCCTGTCTTAAAAAAACCAAACATAAAATTCTGGAGCTATGAGCTGTCCTGAGTTCAGAAATTGTCAGTGCTGTGCTTTCTGGAATTCTTACTTTTCTGATTTCTCAGATTTTCAGCCATGTGAGTTTAGAATTCTTGGCTCTCCGAGTATGGGATCCTGAGCTCTGAGACCTTGCAGGATGACTGGGAAATGCCTCAGAGTAGGGAGTCTGGGCTAGCATCTCCTCCTCACCGGGGCTTCTCCCGTTTCTGCTCCTCACAGGCCAGTTCTATGGGGATGTACTCTACTTCCTGACAGAGTACCGCGATGGATTCCAACATGGGGAGCTGGGCCACCCTGTCTATTTCTGGTTTTATTTCTTCTTCATGAATGCCCTATGGCTGGTGATACCTGGAGTCCTCATTTTTGATTCCATGAAGCAGTTCTATGGGGCCCAGAGCGCACTGGACACCAAGGTGATGAAAGCTAAGGGCAAACAGAACTAATGAATGGACGGAAGAGCGGCGAGAGGTGCTCCCGCTCACCAGGAGAGTCCAGGCCTCCACCAGCTGGAGGGACAATCAGGCTGATGGTGGGCGTGGAAAGGGCCAGAGACGGGAAGAAAGGGCTATGTGGAGCTACTGCTCGGAGCCATTGAGAAGATATCAGAGAAGCCAGGAGGTCTGTGGTGGTGGTAGTTTTTTAAATCAGGAAATAAAAGGTCTTAACTCTTAACACTGAAAGATCTTTAATTACTAACCCCCCAGGCCCCTCCGTCACTCTTGCATTCACAGACCCCCATTATCACATACACCTGCTATCTCTGACCTCATGAACCCCCTTACCTGACCCCACACACTCCACATTCACCCTACACACCCCATCACTTGCTGTAGGAACTCCCCCTTCAGCACCACCCTGTCACTCGCCCCATAGACCCGCTGTATTAGCTCAGGCTGCCACGACAAAATGCCACCCAGTGGGTGGCTTAAATGGCAGAAATTGATTTTCTTGGTTCTGGAGCTTGTCATGGCATGAGCAGTTTTTCTGTCTTCTGAAGCCTCTCTCCTTGGCCTGCAAGTGGCCAATTTCTGTTTTTACTTGTTTTTTTCAGTGTGCCCTCAGGCCCCTGGCTTCTCTATGGGTGTACAGATTTCCTCTGAGAAATCAATCAGATTGGATTAGCGCCTAGCCTCCAAATGCAGTGACATTCTAAATTCCTGGGGGTTAAAGCTTCAACATGGCAAGTCTGCTCTCTGGCCTCTGCAAATTCATGTCCTTCCTGAATGCAAATTATATTCACCTCCATCCTGGTAGCTCAAAACTCTTCTCCCATTTGGGTATGTTTTTGTGGTGTGGGGGTGGGATGGGGGATGGGGAAGTGAATCTAGGACCTTGTATATACTAGGCAAGTACTCTACCACTGACCCCCTACCTGAACCCCTACATTAACTTTAAATCTCAAGTCTCATCTAAATGAAGCGTGGCTGGCCAGGCATAGTTGTGCACACCTGTGACCCCCAGCACACAGGAGGATTTCGAGGAGTTTGAGGCCAGCCTGGACTACACAGTAAGATTGTCAAATAAAGAAGTAAATAAACAAACAAACAAACAAACAAGCAAATAAACAAACTGTGGCTGAAACCAGAGGTATGATCCATCCTGAGGCAAAAATTCCTCTCTAGCTGCAAACCTGTGAAACCAGATCAGTTTTCTGCTTGCAAAATACAGTGTGGTGCAAGAGGCATAAGATGGATAGTCTTTAGAGGTAAGGGAATTGAAATCCATTAAGATATGTTAAAAGCTAGAGGCAACAGCCCCAGGTAAACCTCATCATCATATACTCTAAACATGCACTAATAAAATAGAACTTCAAAAATGGTATTCCCATTGCACAAAGGAGAAATCACAATGAAAAAGGGATCACAGGTCCCAAGTAAGTCCCAGATCTAATAAGGAAGTTCTGTTTGACTGGAAGGCTTGAGGCTCATCCTCTCTGGCTGGGTGCTCTGTCCTCTGGGCCCATCAGGGAGCAGGCCCCACCTTGTGAGCCCCAGGGGCAGCAGTATTGCTCTAGGCCTCAGGAGGCAGCCTGACCAACTGAAATCCTCCAGAGCCAAAAAGGAGACAGCCTTGCCTTGGGATCACTTTGCCTTTATGTGGAAGGGTAATACTGTGGCTGTGCACAGTCGGTGAACTCTGTGGTTCTGTCCTATAGAATTACAGACACCCCACAGCCCTCTCATTTTGTCCTGTTTCTTCCCCCTTTGCCCTAGCTGGCCAGCAGGCCGTTCCCCTCCACCCCTGGCGCCTGCTCAAATGTCTCATTAGATGAGCACAGTGCATCCACAGTCTCTTTATGGACTGACTGTCTAGCCACACCCTGGATTTTCTCAGCAGTGCACTGTTTTTGCAATACTAAATAGGTTGCCGATTTTCTGAATCTTCATATTCTTGTTGCTTTCTGCCTAACACTTCCTTTTTCAACTGATCTGTCCCCTCTTGCATTTTTCTATAAGCATCAAGGAGAAAGCATTCTATACTTTGCCTAGAAATCTTCTCAGCTAAATATCCAAGTTCATCACTTGCAAGTTCCACCTTCCACAAAACGCTAGAATAAATTCAACCAAGTTTTTTGTCTTCCTTCCAGTTTCTAATAATCTGTTCCAGACTTCCACCTGAGGCCTCATCAGGAGGACCTTTAACATCCAATCTCCACCAACACTCTTTTCAAGGCAGTTGTCTTAGTTTTTTCAAGTTACTAGTAACAAGATACCATAAATGGGGTAGCTTATAAACAACAGAAATTTATCACAGTTCTAGTCACAGGCACTGGCAGATTTGGTATCTGCCTGTTTGGTTTGGGTTTTCTTTCCCTTTTTTTTTTTTTTTTTTTGAGGTAGATCTTGTGTAGTCCAGGCTGCCCTGTGAACTTACTGTGTAGCCCAGGCTGGGCTCAAACTTGTGGCAATCCTGCCACAGCCTCTTGAGTGCTGGCATTATAGGGGTGCACCACCACCACCCCTGGTTGGTTCATGGGTTTTTTTGGGGGGGTATTTATTTATTTATTTTTATCCTTTTGAGACAGGGTCTCACTATGCAGTTCAAGCTGGCCTTGAGCTCACTTTGTAGACCAGGCTGGCCTTGAACTCCCAACGATCCTCCTGCCTCAGCTTCCTTAGTGCTGAGATTACAGTCATGTGCCACCATGCCTGGTTTTATTTATTTATTTTTAAGCAGAAAAAGAAAACCAAAATTTCAAGACGAGATAATAGGAGGGTAACAATTGTTAATACATTGAGTATTGTTATCTTTAAATTACTTACTCAGGGTACAAGACATTGGCATTTAATTGTCCAGAAAATATTAGCACAGACCTTTCTTTTCAGTAGACTAAGAGAAATTAGTAGCATAACTATCTTAACTATCTTATATGTATATATATACATATCTGTATTTTTTGATTTTCCCTTCCTTTTCTCCACTCCCCAATCACAGTTTCTCCTTCCTTTTGAAGTTTCTTCCCATTTTATAATATCTATTGTACATTTTGGATTTCATTTACTCTTTCAGCGTCTCACACTAGGGAGACAATATGATGTTTACACATGTGTGTCTGGTTTATTTCACTTATGAGTATGGTCTCAAGTTGCATCCATCTACCTATAAAAGTCTCCAGTTTATCCTTCTTTATGGCTGAGTAGTACTCCATTGCATAAAAAGACCACATCTTTTTTATCCATTCCTTGATTGATGGGCATTTGGGTTATTTCCAAGATCTAGCTGTTACAAATTGTGCTGTTATAAACATGGGTGCATGTATATCACTGTGATACGATGGTTTTAATTCTTCTGGGAAGATACCCAGCAGGCGCATAGCTGGGTCAAATGAGACCTTCAATCCTAGTTTTTTGAGAAATCTCCACACTGATCTCCACAGTGGCTGCACCAGTCTATACTTGCACCAACAGTGGAGAAGGGTTCCTTTTTCCCCATAGCCCCTCCAGCATTTGTTAGTGGCTGATTTCTTGATGACAGCCATTCTTTCTGAAGTGAGATGAAATCTCAATGTTCTTTTAATTTGCATCTCTCAAATGACCAGTGATTTTGAACATTTTTTCATATATTTATTTGCTATTTGTATTTCATCTGAGAAGTGTGTAATCATCTCAGATGCCCGTTTTTGGATTGGGTCTTTTTTTTTTGAGAACAGTATAAAAATATGGAATGCTTCACAAATTTGTGTGTCATCTTTGTGCAGGGGCCGTGCCAATCTTCTCTGTATCATTCCAATTTTAGTATATGTGCTGCCAAAGTGAGCACTAGATTGGGTCTTTAAATTTGAGAGGTCTGATTTTTTTTAGTTGTCTATATGTTCTCAATAGTGTTCTTTTGTCTGAGGAACAGCTGGCAAACATGTTTTCCCACATTGTGGGTTGTCTCTTCACTCTGTTGGTGGTTTCTCTTGCTGTGCAAAAGCTTTTTAATAAGAGGAGATCCCTGTTGTTGATTCTTTGTGATATTTCCTATGTGATCAGAGTCTGATTCATAAACTCTTTACCTACACCAATGTCTTTAAGAGTTTTACCTATTCTATCTTCCAGCAGATTTAATGTTTCTCTTTTAATATTTAGATCTTTGATCCATTTCAAATTTAGTTTAGTGCATGGTGAAATATGTGGGTCCAATTTTAATCTTTCATATGTGCAGAGTCAGTTTTTCCAACATCATTTATTAAAGAGGCTATCTTTCTTCCAGGGAATGTTTGGCAACTTTGTCAAAGATAAGGTGGCTGAGTATGTTTGAAGTTGTTTCTGCATCTTCTAATCTGTAGTCCAAGTTGGTTTTTTTTTTGTTTTGTTTTGTTTTTTTTGGTACCGGGAATCAAACTCAGGACCTTGTGCTTGCCAAGCAGGCGCTTGTGCCACTGAGCTATATCCCTGACCCTCTTCTAATCTGTTCCATTTTTTTGCCAGTACCATGCTGTTTTTATCACAGTAGCTTTATTGTGCAATTTCAAGTCAGGGATTGTGATGCCCCCTGCTTTGCCTTTGTTGTCCAGAATGGCCTTTGCTATTCTAGGTCTCTTCTGGTACCAAATGAATTTTAGGACTGTTTTCTCTAATTCTGTGAGATATGCTGTTGCAATTTTGATCAGAGATGCAATAAATCTTTGTAACAGTTTTGGAAGTATGGCCATTCTCACTATATTGGCTCTTCCTCCTCAAGAGCAAGTGGTATCTTTCCATTTTCTGATATCTGCTTCAATCTCCTTTGTCAGAGTACTGTGGTTTTCAGTGTCTTTTACATCCTTCATTAGATTGATTCCTAGGTATTTCATTTTTTTGGATGCTATTGTGAAAGGTGTTGTTTCCCTAATTTTTCTCTCAGTAAATTTTTTATTAATGTATAGGAATGCTATTGATTTTTGAGCATTGACTTTGTATCCTTCTATGCTAATGAATTTGCTTATTAAATCTAGCAGTTTTTTAGTGGATTTTTTTGGATCTTCTATGTAGAGTATCATGTCATCTGCAAATAATGATAATCTAACTTCTTCCTTTCCTATCATCATTCTTTTTATTTCTTCTTTTTGTCTAATTGCTCTGAATAAAGTTTCCAGAACTATGTTGAATAAGAGTGGAGACAATGGACATCCTTTTCTTTTTCCTGATTTTAGAGAGAAAGCTTTCAGTTTTTTGTTTGTTTGTTTGTCTGTTTTTTGTCTTTTTGAG